AATACCCACTTCCTAAGATCGATGATTTATTCAATCAACTGCAAAGAGCGTGATGTTTTTCAAAAATTGATTTAAGCTCTGGGTATCATCAGTTAAGAATTTGGAAAGAAGATATACCAAAGATCGCACTCTGTACGAGGTATAGGCATTTTGAGTTTTTGGTAATGTCTTTTGGTTTAACTAACACTCCCACCGCTTTTATGGATCTAATAAATAGAGTATTTCGAGTTTATTTGGATAGATTTGTGGTGGTGTTTATAGATGATATCCTGGTGTATTCTCGGAGCCTTGAAGAACATGCACATCATTGATGAATGGTGTTGCAGACACTTCGAGAACATGAATTGTATGCAAAGTTCTCTACGTATGCTTTTTGGTTAGAGACTGTTAGCTTTCTCGAACATGTGATATCGAAGGAAGGGATTAGTATGGATCCACAAAAGGTTGCATCAATTCAAACTTGGCTAAGACTAAGTATGGTTACGGAGGTTTGAAGTTTTCTTAGATTGGCTGGGTATTATTGTAGATTTATGCAGGATTTCTCGAAAATCGCAACACCATTGATGAAGTTGACGTGAAAGGAAGCTAAGTTTGAATGGATTGATGAATGCGAAGGTAGTTTCTTAAGACTAAAAATGTATTTGATTTCAGCACCAGTCTTAAGTTTATCGAATGGTCCAAGGGGTTATGTTGTGTATTATGATGCATCAAGAGTTAGATTGGGATGTGTGTTGATGCAAAATGGTAGAGTTATCATGTACACCTCAAGGCAACTCAAGAGGCATGAGCAAATCTGTCCTACTCATGGCTTGGAGATGGCAGCGATAGTATTCGCGTTAAAGATTTGACGTCATTATCTATACGGAGAAAGCTTTGAAATATATACTAATCGCAAGAGTTTAAAGTATATATTTCAATAACGTGATCTCAATTTAAGGTAACGCTGATGGATGGAATTGCTCAAAGATTATGATTGTACCATCCAATACTACCTTAGTAAGGCGAACGTAGTGGCTGATGCTTTAAGTTGAAATGGGGAGTTTGGTGCATTTGTCTGTCGAAGGAAAGAGTATAGTGCATGGATGGCAAAGCTTAGGCAGTATGAGAATCAAGATTGATATTGGTGGGCCAAGTGCCCTCATTGCTCATTTTCGAGTACAACCAATGATCTTGGATCGAGGATTAAGATGAATTTGTGATGAAAATTTTGGGATATGAAGAGCAAGATCAGAGATTGGTGTGCGGAGATGATGGATTGTTGAAGTATGAATCTTGAACGTATGTACTGGATCAAGAAATTTGAGAGAAAAGATTTTAGAGGAAGCTCACATTATTGCCTACACAGTACATGCAGGATGTAACGACCTCTTCCCCTGATCGTTACCATCATTCGAGATTTACGAGTTAATGCGCCAAATCCCGAACAAGCCTTAAATTGAGATTTCGGACACTTTAAAATTGATTTGCAATATTAATGCTATCGTTTACTTAAACCAAATAAACACAATATTTATAACGTAGCATCTAAATACTAATAACCAAGTTTGATAACTCCAAAGT